AAGCCTTAAAAAGGAAACTACTGTTACAGCAATGGGAAAGTGGGCCTTTATTTATTAAAGAATTTTTTATTTATGTTTAACGTTGTTATTTTATAGAGTTGCCTGTTTATGATCAGGACATTTACCGGCCTGAATAACATTGCAGACCCTTCTTATGTTTTTAACCACTGTCAAGAATCTTATGGTAAACTGTGTATAAACTAAATTGGATGAATCGGACCATTCATATGGCAACAATATTCAATGGACGAGGTCCGACTTTATTTATTAAAGACAAATGGTAGATTTATAAAAATCTGCAAGAGGGGATTCTGATGAGAAAATAAATAGATGTCTTATCCTATAATGGAACCCATTGTACCTTAACCACTTATGAACCTTATGGTAGACAAGGTCAGCAGCAGCTTCCATGCAGCAGATCCATCAGCAGTTAAGCAATGCAGCCGACAATTTATTTATTAAAGCAGATTCCATTTTATGCATCTGTTGTCAGTATTAAATAACATTTACCGGCCTGAATGTCTTTTCATAGAAAATCCATAGTTTTTTATTGTTTAACCACTTCGGCCACCATGAACCTTATTAGACAGAGCATTTGCAAATACTGTCTCTATAAAATAACAACGTTTAAATAAAAATAATAAATAATGTGTATACTCATGTATAATCTAGCTTCATACAGAGTGCCACCCTGAATTTTGGGGGGCATTAATTTTTCACCCTTATGAATGTGCAGCAGGAAAAAAAAATTCGACCTTGTCTACCATAAGGTTCATATATATATATATTCCGTAAATGCAAATCCTGTCTAGACAATATTTTCTATGAAAGAAAGGCGGTAAATGTTTTTAATGTGTTTATATATATATATATTTGCTAAATATATATATAAAATATAAACATAAATATATATATATATATATATATATATACTAAATACTAATAATCTTAGAAATATAAGCAACTATACTGTCCGACAAAACCTTAGGTGTTTTAGCTTGTAAATGACCAAACAAATACCCAAGGGAAAAAAAAGTGTAAAAAAAGAAAGAACTAAGAACATGTACTTCCATGGTTAAATACCATAAAATAACAACGTAAAATAATCGCCTAGAATCTAAGTTCAGAGTCCAAAGAAAATAACCTCCAACACGAGTAAAGTAAAAAATAACTAAGCAAAGTGCTCAATACGCTAAGTAGAGCAAACTAAATAAACCTAAAGAGCCAGACAAACCTACTTAGGTTTTCACCTACATGGATTGTCAGTGTAAACAGTTTACCCTGATGATCCACATAGGTGAAACCCAGGTAGGTTTGTCTGGCTCTTTTAGGTTTACTTATATACACAAAGGTGTGTATATATATATATATATATATATATATATATATATATATATATATATATATATATATATATATATATACGGAGGATGCATATTTTCTATGAAATTTCTCAGACATTCAGGCCGGTAAATGTCGTTAATACTGTTTATTATAAACAGTGCATTTGCTTAAATATTTGTATCTATAAAAAGAACATATAAACATAAAAAATATCTTTATATATATATATATATATATATATATATATATATATATAAGGTCTATTGTGGCAGCAACAAGTCTTTCAAATGTGTTTCTTTTTTTAATCATTTCACCCAAAGCAAAAAAAATGACAATGCTACTAGGACTCAGTGGGTGACAGGGAATAAGAAGACTTTAGTGAAGAAAAGGACAATAAAAGAACAGGTTTCAGAAAGACACAAGATGGCAATTGATGTTGCATTTAAAATCTTGAAGATTTTAAGTACTAGGAAAGCAAGAAACTGGAAGGGAGTTCTAAAGGCAAGAATAGAAAATATTACAAAAGAACATACGGTTGCATCTTGCTAGTTCAACAATAAAAAGGTGAGACCTAGTTGCCAATCAAGTAGCACGTTTAAATTCATGCAGTCAAGGCAACAAGGAGAACAGCTCATCAGAAAACTTGCCATGAAATTATTTGTAAAAAAAACAGAGGGAAGCCATGTCATGTCATTGAGAAAGGGACTGACGTTGAGATGAAAAGTCAGGATTGATTATATTCTAGACCCTTCTTTGAAATTTTTTTAAGAATTTCGAGATAAGCCATAGGAGCACCAGACCAGATATGACTGCAATATTGAATACATGGATGAATGATAGATTTATAAATGTGCAAGCTAGATTCTGTCCAGAAAAATTTTCTGACATGCTACAATGAAGCAACTTTCCTAGCAGTAGACCCAGCAATTGATGCAATATAATCACTCCATTTCATGTCAGTAGAAAACATGAGACCAAGAAGGCACAATGAATTGTTCTCCTGGAAGTTAGGATCAGCCATGATGGAAGGCAAAAATGATTCTCTGTAATGATTAAAAGATAGAAGTTTTGTTTTCGAGACTTTAAAATTAAAAGCCATTTCTTGCCCCAGTTAACAACAGATTGGAAGTAATTTTCAAGAACTGCTGCCAGTTTTACTCGAACTGATCAGAATTACTATTTACACTGGAGTAAATAGTTTTGTTATTAGTATAAATACCAAGTAGTGAGTTTGATCCTCACTGGGCATCCCATACTTTCAGCATTGTGCCACATCTAAGCTATGCTTAGAAAATCACCACATGTTGGAAAAGCATCATTTATTACGGAGAAGATGCACTTGACAAACAGCAAGGAAAAACAGACACAAATGCAGTCTTGAAGTCTTCACAATGAAGCATGTCAAAAAATTCCTCTTTGACTATCTTAAAGATCAGCTGCCTTCTTGAGAGAATTTTGTTTAGCTAGCTGGTGACATTTTTAAAAGGCAGAAATCTCCTGAGGACTTGTTTGGACTTTGTGAAGGCTTTTGGTGAGATCCTCATCATCACCATTATCATCATCATAGCTGTGTTCTTTTTTTTTTTGTTGAGGCAGAACTGTGGATCTCAGTTTACATATCCACATATGCCTGTTGACATACTGAGACTTGTCATAATAATTTGGGTCAAGGTTTTACAACCAGATGCTCTTCCTGACACCCAATTATAGTCTAAATACATCAAGTGTTTTTATCAAGACACCATCTCTAGAAAGGTTGCTGATCAAGGCTTGATACTCCATCCTAGTCTTAAATATCAATGATGGCATCTTATTTATTAATCTGACATATTTTTATCACTTTTAATGTTATTTTGAGTAGATAAACCATTGTTAGATCTAATGTATTGTAACCAATTCAGCTACCAACTGGTACTAAAGAATCCCAAACAAACAATTCTACCTGTTAATAAATACCATATTGATTGAAGGGCTTTCAACAACAACAACTAAAATGGGTGGCATATGTAACTTAAAATAAAAATGAAGACAAAGTCAAGATTTTGACATTCTACGCTACTTAGAACAAAAGTCATCATCTTTGTCGCCATATTTATTACAACGTTTTGGCCATTGTACACTCTGGCCTTCTTCAGGTGGTTAGAATGTTGGACTGAACCCTTAATTTCACTCACTGGGGTAGACTGTTCTAGTTCCACGTGACATGTTTAATGGATGTCAGTTATCAGTTATCTCCTGTTAATTTCCCTCTGCAAGTTCTCCACTGCCTTAACTGGGTATTGAACTCACACTCTTTGGGTTCTGTCACTGGATCTAACCAACACCTTTATCCACTGTGCCATGTGTCCTTGAAGAAGAAGGCTGGCATGTACATAACACCTCATCTCAGAAATATAGACAGATACTGAAAGGCTGAAACGTTGTAATAAATATGGCGACAAAGATGAGGACAATAGTCTGAATAATGTAAACAGTGTACATAAGACCTCATCTCAGAAATATAGACAGATACTGTTAAAACAAAAGCTTAGAAAAAGAAGCACCAATACTGGAAAGAGCTATAACAGTTAGTGGACAAGAAAATTATATTTCTCTGAAAAATTGTTAAGAAAAAAGATGGCCCATAAACACCATTATTAATATATGTCTTGTCTCAACAATGTAGGGAGGTTGTTTGTCTTCACATATGGTACAAAAGTACTTTGTTTCAATGTTAAGACTTTTACAGTTGAAGCTATAAATTGACTCATAAAAAATTTTTTATTACCTTATTTGGTTATCATAAAGTTAGCGATTTGAAGTCAGATTTCATAACTGACTTGTAGCAATCATTGTGTTAACTGTTAAAAATTTTCAAATCAAACATTGTTTTTAGTTAGAAGGATCAACATGATAATGATTTTTTCCTTAGATTTTTTTCAGTTGTTTTGAGAATGTTCATACAGAGAGAAATGTTAACAAGGGAAAAAAAATTCAATATTCAGCTGGTTTACATGAATTCCACTTTACATTTTCTGAGGTAAATCTTGAAATATCTTACACATTTATAAGTCTACCATTCGTCCATGCATTGGATAATTTCTGCCACATCTGGTCTGGTGCTTCAGCTATATATTTGGAGATTCTTGATAAAATCCAAAGAATCTTGGTTATTGGTCCTGACCTGGTATCTCAGCTTTAGTCACTTTCCCGCTTCCCTGTGTGTTTTCTATAAATACTTTCATGGTAATGGTTTTGAGGGACATTGCTCTATGGTACCTAGATTTTCTCTTCTGGCTTACCAATCAACCTTGACCTTCAAAAATTTGTCTGTCTTCTTAATTGCTCTTCTTTTATTGTTCTTTCTTCTTATTATTTTTTTCCTCATATTGTTTCACATACACTAAACCCTTGCATCTCAGTGGCTTTATTGCCTTGCTTGGGGTGAAATTGATAAAGAAAAAAATAAGAAAATAAAGAACTTCATATTTGATCGATGTTTTTTTTTTCTTAAAGAAGCTGTTTCATGTCTTCAGTCTCATAAACCTTGGGGTACGATTTTGCACTTCACAAAAAGAAGATCCAAAATTTACCAAATATCTGAATTGTTACTTTGAGCCATTAGAATCTAGATAGATTAGGTACAAAGCTTTTTTTTTATCATTGTGTCTTTTCAGGTCAGTAAATTGCATCCACAATTTTCCTTGGGTCAGACAGTACCAGTTATTCCAGCGGCATCTCAGACTTTGTTACCAGGTAAGTAATATATTATCTAGATATATTAATATGTATAAAAAATTACAAACATATATATATATATATATATGCTGAAAAAACTTCATTTTATTTACTGTTATCACTATCACAACTATCATTTTTGTCAACTATGTCAAAGTACATTTAATCATTATGATGTCGTGGATGTAAAGCTGGTGTAATTGATATCAGTTTGGAAGGAGAAATCAAAGTGCCAAGTTCAAATTCCAGGTAGATTTGTTACATTCACTTATGTAGAAATACCATTGGGAATGGTATGAATCCATCTCCTCCTACAGTTATGGGTTAAATAGTATGACTTGCAGCTAGAAAAATACCATTATTTGCCAAAAAAATTGTTAATGCAATATTCAGTCACAAAGAAATAAACCAAAAAACGGTGGATAAATCTATTATGTTGTCTGCTGATGGTTTAACAGTGAAAGATTAAATTTGTAAGGTCAGTTGGAAATTTACAAGTGGTACAGTTTTTTTGTCTTTTTTTATTTGTTGCTTTATATAAATTATATTTGAAAGAAAAACGAAAAAGAACATTCATTTAAAACATGATAAAACCTTTGTCCCAAAAAAAGTCATTACTTTTGGTGCATAGAACATAATCTTAGGTATCAAATAAATGTCCCTCTTGGTTAATTTTTGGATTTTTTTCCAACAGACTCCCTTCCCACACACACACCTGAGCTTATTAGGACCCCAAGTTTAATAGGGAGTAAATAAATTATTGCGGAAAAAGAGAAGAATACAAGAAGAGGAAAATCAACACATTTTCAGAAATTATTTGGGGATATTTACAAACACACATACATACACACACAGACACACACACGCACGCACACACATATATATATATATATATATATATATATATATATATATATATACACACACACACTACATTTCAAATCTTTGAAGCCATTCCCAAAATTAGCATGAGAAGAGCATGACAAAATAATGAAAAAAACAAAATGTAAAGGAACTCTTAGAGTTATTGAAAAAAAGCATGGAATCAATTATCAAACTTATACTTTGAGAAAATTTTGCAAAGGCCAAAAAATTGTGTTGCAGTAATCAAGGCTAAAGGAGGATATTTTGACGAGAGCAAAATTTAATCATAAATAAAATCATGCTTTTTTTCTTTTTGTCATAATAAGATTTCTAATAAAAAATCCTGTCTCACTTTTTTTTAACCTTGTATAATAATTTTCTCTTATTTAAAATACAAAACAACAACATTTTGGGCCAATTTAAAAAGTTACCAAGAGTGGCCTCAAACTTTTAAACTGTAGTGTGTGTGTGTGTGTGTGTGTGTATATATATATATATATATATATAAGTGTAGGATTGATGTATATTTTGAATAAATTCCCATGACCAAAAATTACTATTCTTAAAAGAGTGCTCATTACAGAGTAGAGCAAATATAATTTATTTGAAAATTATAACATAAATATATTATAAAATCACTACAAAAATAGTCATTTTGTTTCAACATTGCTGGCTATTTTTATAGTGATTTTATAAGATATATATGTTATAATTTTCAAATAAATTATATATATATATATATATATATATATATAGACAGATAGATAAATAGATGGATATATATTTTTTATAGAGTGATAACTCCCGCCCTCCCCTTTCCACCAACTTGGACTTTTTATTTGGCTGAGCCATTATTTTTGGGTAGGTTCAGTATCTTTTCTTCGACTGCTATCTAAATTAAATTCTAAATCCCTGATTCTGAGACAAATTCAGTTTAATGTTGAAGAAGACTGGCACAAGGTTGCACTGGTTGAAACAGGCTATACCCACATGAGATAATTTTGGATATTTGCTGTGTAATATATATGCTCTCTTATAATAAATACTCTTTCTTAATCAGCTTTAATATTTGGTATTACTAGGATCCACCTGGATTATATACCAATGAATCTATTACCTGTACTATATATATATATATATATATATATATATATATATATATATATATATATATAAGTATATAATTGGTGTATACGGAATGAATTCCAATAACCAACAATTACTATTCTTAAAAGAGTGCTCAATACAAAGTAGAGCAGATATAATTATTTATTTAGAAAATTTATAACATAAAATTTATGTTATAAATTTTCTAAATAAATAATTATATATATATATATATATATATATATATATATATATATATATATATATATATATATATATATATCCCTTCACTTCCTCACTTAAGTTAATTTATATATGTTTAATACGGGCCCGTCAAAAAATGTGTAAATTTTTTTCATTTTCATTTCAACCTTTGGAAGTAAAGTCTGATGATCCAGATCCCTTTAAAAGGGCTGTGGTGAAATAATTTATTACATGGAACCTTAAAGTGGTCTGTTTTTTTATTCAAACATATTTGCTCTGAATTTACATTGAGCTCTCCGGATATCAGTCTCTTTGGGTCTACCCATACGGATTACCTAGTTTTGCATAAACTATATAGATTTATAGACAGATAGATATTAGTTGTTGACCATTGGTAGGCATTTATTTATATTGTAATGTCAGCAAGACTTTGTTGAAATGTTTTCAATTTTGTTCAAGCATTTTACTTAAAGACATTGACTGAAATTTATTTTTATTTTTTGAGGCCTTCTAATTGTTTGAAAGACTTGTTTTTAATGGTTTCCCAAACATTCCATTTATTGACCTCCACCAAATTAATTAGATTTCCTTATTTTTGCAACTACCCCCTCCCATTATTAACCCATGTTTAATTAATTTTCTGAACCCAATGAAAATAAAAGTGCTTTTAATAATTAATTTTGAGAAACATTTAAATAATTTTATTCAAATTTAAACATTTTTTTTTTTTTGCATATATTCATTCATCTGTGAATTGCATAGAATTTTCCTACCATTTCCAGTCTGGGACTCTGGCTATATATCTGAAGGTTCTCAAATAAAGTCCAAAGAAGAATCAGCAATGTTATCGGTCCTGATCTGACATCTCAGTTTTAGTCACTTTCTCACTGCTCTCTCTGTTTTTTCTAAAATATTTTAATGGCAATCCTTCTAATGAGCTTGATTCCTTGGTACCTCAACTGGAAGAATTTGAGCATTCTACTAGATTGGCAACTAGGTCTCATTATTTTACTGTTGAAATAGCTCGATGGAACTGTAAATTCTATTCTAATAGTTTCTTTTCTTGCACTTCACACCTGTGGAACTCTCTTCTGATTTCTTGCAATTTGCATTCTTGAGAAATTTAAATGCAACATTAATTACCAACTTCTGTATTCCTGAAGAATGTTCTTTTATTGTCATTGAAATTAATGCTATTTTGCAGCCTATTTTCCTATGAAATTTTTCTTTATTAGTACCCTGAATTTTATACAATTTATTTCCATTTCAACAACATTATATCCTGCCTTACATCTCCCATAATGGTTGATACTATCTTCTGTAATATGTATGGACATTATTATCAATAATTGGGGCATTATTATTAATAGGGACATTATTGTTAATAGGGACATTATTATTATTAATAATTGGGGCATTATTATTAATAGGGACATTATTATTATTAGGGACATTATTATTATTAGGGACATTATTATTATTAATAGGGACATTATTATTAATAAATAAAAATAATATAAAATAATAATAATAATGAATATCATAAATAAAATAAAATAAAACAAATAACATTAAAAGTTTGTTTAAAATAAATTAAATAAAACCAAAATAATAAATGTTCTCCCAGAATGCAACAGAAAACTTTTCCTGTCTGAAAAAAAAACAAAAAAACGTTGAACTCTCACTTCATTTATCTCCTCACCTCAGGACATTATTTGTTATAATACAAGATCATTTTCTTTCTTTTCTCACATGCAACCTTAAAACATAAGTAGTCAGCATAAAACTTTTGTATTTTTTTAGTTTCACCTCTGGTACTTATTGGAGTACCATTTATTGATCAAATGAATCTGTCTAATAAAAAAAATGAACCGATTAGGTGTTTAATTAACTGAGAGAAGATAGGCAACAAGTCTTTAAGTCCTCTACATACAAGGCACATACATATTTCAAACATAGGTATTTCGAATAATTATCATTTAGTATAATTGTGTTTTCAATTAATTTTCATTCAAATAATTTACAATTTGAAAAAATATTTTTTAAATAATTGTTTTTGGACCAGGTTCACATAATTGTTTTGTTAAATATGACAGATAATTGAAGAATTTTTTATTTAGTTTTTCCAGCATTACTGAGTACTGGGTATTGGAAATGGTTGAAATCTGGTGCCATTTTTTTTTTTTTAATTGCCTTTTGTAGAATAGCAATGTCTTAAATGATCATCAAAATGTCTCCTAAAAAAGCAATTTTGGCAAGTGGAACCACTGTTGAATATAGACTGCATTGTTTGATGAGTTTCAGTTTGTTATGAGTGTCAAAATATCCATCAAAATGATTTCAGAAAGAATAATTTACTCCATAATTTTACAAGTTATATCGCAGAGGAAAGTTACACACGTGTCTTCCTGATGTTTCTTGTACAAAGAGAGTGAATCTCACATATTTTGGTGGGATGTCTGTATTTTCAGCTGGAACAGTTTTTATCGCTTCCTGGGAATAATTCTATTATTTTTATTTTTTTATTTAATTTATTTTAAACAAGGTTTAAATATTATAGTTTTATTTTATTTATAATTTTCATTATTATTTATTTATACTATTTACATTATTCAGACTATTGTCCTCATCTTTGTTGCCATATTTATCACAACGTTTCAGCTGTTGTACACTCCGGCCTTCTTCAGGTGTTTGGAATGTTGAACTGAACCCTTTATTTCACTCACTGGGGTAGACTGTTCTATTTCCCCGTGCCATGTTTAATGGATGTCAGTTATCAGTTATCTCCTGTTAATTCCCCTCTCCATGTTCTCCACTGCCTAAACCAGGTATTGAACTCACAC